TTGGCAGAAGAGATGAGAGAGAATTGAGAGAAGCCTTTAAGGAGAAAAGAAAAATCATATATTTTGTAAACAAACCTATCATGTGTAAGTGCTTATACAAACTTTTTTAAAAATTAGTTTTAATGAGGTTCATTAAAATCAACGTATAGCCCAGGATAAGAATCATGGAAGAAAATTAGCCATGTTAACAGAAAAAGTTATTCACTTAACAAATGTTTACTGAGAGCCCACTAAACACAAAAATTGGGTTGAGGATCCAAAACACATGTTTCTAAGTCCTGATTGAGGTGGAGACGACAAAATTAAAGGCAGCAATAGAAGATGAGATCATAAAGTGTAGGTAAGTAGCCCCAGTGGTAGATAAAGAATATACTTCTGAAGTTTAGTGGTTCTCAAAATTCAATTGTATCAGAATTTCCTGGAGAGTCTGTTAGGACAAAGAAGGTGGGCCTCTCCCTCAAAGTTCCTATATCAATCTGGGGTGGAGCTTGAGGTTTTGCATTTCCTTATTAACAATCTGTAGGCTGCAGATATAGATACAGGTATAGATATTCCTCTTTCTTAATTTTGAATAAAATAAGGCTCAAAAAAGATAATAAGCAAACTGAAGCTAAAGACTTGCTTTTGTTAAAAAATAAGGCATTCTTTTTTTGTGTAATATGAGCAAAATTTATTTAAAAACTTTTTTTACTCTTTGCTCTAATCCTATATAATAAAAGGGTAATATACAAACTGACCCTAACAGCAGAACAACTGGGAATAACTGGTCACTATGACACACACTGACCACCAGGGGACAGACGCTCAATGCAGGAGCTGCCCCCTGGTGGTCAGTGCACTTCCACAGGGGGAGCTCTAATCAGTCACAAGCCAGGCTGATGGCTGCCAGTACAGCGGTGGTGGTGGGAGCCTCTCCCGCCTCCTCAGCAGTGGTAAGGATGTCCGACCGCAGCTTAGGCCTGCTCCCCGCTGGCAAGTGGACATCCCCTGAGGGCTCTCGGACTTCCAGAGGGATGTCTGACTGCCAGCTTAGGCCCATTCCCTTAGGGAGCGGGCCTACGCCAGCAGGTGGATATCCCCCGAGGGGTCCCAGACTGCGAGAGGGCACAGGCCAGGCTGAGGGACCGCCCCTCCCCGAGTTCACAAATTTTTGTGCACTGGGCCTCTAGTTCTATAATAATCAAGAACTATTTGGATATGCAATGAGACTTACTGAGCAGAACTACCACATAGGAAGTCCCTGTGTCTTGTCTGGGCAGTCCATTTGGATCATGTGTTATAGAAGAGTGCATTAGCACTCTGTTTAAAAAACATTTACTTGAATCAATACAAAAATTGTAGTATACTTGTCAGCAATCAAAGGGAGTGGACTACACAACACCCATACTGAGCAAAAGAACCCACACAAAAATGCATACATATTGCTTGTTTCCACTTTTATGATGTTCTAAATTTTTGTAGCATGAGAAAAGTGAGAGGGTGGTTAGCTGGGGCTAGTGATGTGGAGTGACTCTGAAAGCACTAAGAACTTTCAAAGGTGATGAAAGTGTTTTGTTTTGTTTTTTAACCTAAAAAAAATGGTGTATGGATATTACATGGGTGAGTACATGGGTGTATTCTTTGGTCAGTTAAGAGGCATAGAGATTACATGGGTGTATCCTTTTGTCAATTAAGATGTGTGCATTTCAAGATATGTAAAGTTTATCTGGAAAAATAGCAAGGAGTGATGTGGGATGTAAGGGGATGTACAAAACATATCCTGGTAGAATGTGTGTAGTTGATGATGCCAAAAGAGGCAGACAGAGAGTTCATTATACTATTTTGTTTACTTTGCTTATATTAAAAACAAACAAACAAACACAAACACCTCTTTGGATTTTAGTCAATCTCTACTACTTCTTTGGAACTTAAACATCCTTAGGTTAGTTAATAAAATAAAGTTCCTAAAACTGGAAAAAGAGGTATTTTTGTTTCTATTAAATTTATTGGGGTGACATTGGTCAACATGAACATATAGGTTTCAGGTGTGGGTTTCTATGTTATAAGATCTGTATATTGCACCAGGTGCCCACCACCCAAAGTCAAATCTTCTCCTGTCACCATATATTAAGGACCTCCTACTACTCCCAAAATAGATTTTTATTAATTCCTCTAATAATTATTCAGATGCTATTGTTCACTTTGAACAAATTATTATTTGTAGTTTTTATTTACAATTCGCAACCTTCTTTCTCCCCCAAAATTTTTTGAGGAGGGTTGCATTATTTTTTTAATGTGAGTAAATCCATAAGATGCAGACAATTAAGAAAATGTCAACAAAGAGGGATAAATAAAAATAAAACAGGGGTATAAATCATTGCAGTTAATCAGAGATTCTTAGCATACAAGGCAAAAAGATAAATACATTGGGCTGTATATGTACCTTTCCTGTGTGTTATAGGTACAAAAGAGGTCCTCTCCCTTCCTCACCCTTCCTCACTCTGTCATTATATTTGTAAAAGAATTATTCATGTGAATAATCTATAAGTACATGAGTAATATAGTAGATAATATCATGTATTAAACTGTTATTTTGTCATTAAATTTAAAAATTCTGATTTCTATTTTGCAGAAAATGATTAGTCATTTTATCTTTGTTTAAGAATGTAAGTGGCAAGTAAGACCACTGATATTGTAAAAGTATATCTTTAAAATGTATTCCTAAGGAATAATGGAAATGGAAAATCATCACTTGGCAAATACCAGATAAAAATTTTAATAAACAAGAACCACTGATGGATGCTACCATTTATGGGAAAAGTATGATAAAAAAGATGTTTACATAGTCTCATCTTTCCAGAAGACCTTGATTAATTATAAAATAAAAAATAGTAACTGTACAGTGGAGCAAACTGTCAGAAATCACCATGAACAAGGGATTAAAGTTAGCATCATGAGACATGGGACATATGCACAGTATGCACTGCCTTATGTGATGCACTGAGAAGGGCACATCATCCCTTCCCCAGTATCCCTGCCAAAAATGCAGAACCGCAATATGATCATCAGAAAACACTGGACAAGCTCAGTTGAGGGACATTCTACAAAATCAACTACCAAATATTCTTGAAAGGGTCAAGGCAATGAAAGAAAGCCTTTCAGATTGGAGAGGATTAAGAAAACTAGGAAACTAAATACAGTATGGAATTCTGGATTGGATGTGACAGCAGAAAAGAAAATAGTAAGAGAATTGAGGAAATCTGAAAAAAGTCTATAATTAGTTAACAGCATTGTATCAATGCTAATTTTATGACTTTGATAGTTTTATTGTATAGACTCTGGGATAAATGTATACATAGTAACTTATTTGCAACTTTTCTGTAAGTAGAAATGACTTGAAAAGAAAAGAAAGCATTCTGAGATTGCTCAAGACTAGCCAGCATTTTACTAGACTTAACTGCATTCCACATTTATGAAATGACCTGCGTCAAAATAATGTTTAGAGTAAATGTTGTCAGCTGGGCAACTTGCCAGCTTAAGCAGAGTATCCATAAAGTGTCTACTTTTCAATAGCATTGCAGCCCATTGATTTGTCACAAATACTTAGCTGACAGGTGTAACCTCCCTAAACTGAGGCGCTGAAACCAGGGAATTCTAGAGAATCTCCAAATAAAAGAGCTGGACAGATATTTCTGATGCACAGAGATTACAGATGAACACCTCCTAATTTTAATTTAAAAATTGTACTGAGATAGTAGATCATACAAAATACAGATCAATGAGGTCCCAAAGGAAATTCTTACCTAAGTTAAAGGAGTATTTTAGAAAACAGAGCTGTAATCAGTAGACACCCCCACACACAAATCACAAATTATAACTCCTACCTCAATTTATTTCTTTGTTGGAGAAATTTATTGATTGATTGGTAAAGTCACACCAGCTGGACTTGAGTAAGATAATTAGTAAAATCTTTCGTGATATTTTGTGGAGAACAAGGAAAAAATTGGCAGAACACATAAATAATTGCATAAAAGTTTTGGTAGTTTAATTACTGGCTGAAATGTCATGGTTAATGGGTTAGTATCACCCTGGAAGAAGGTCCAAGGAGCTTTTTCCGCAGCCAAGTCTGTATAAATGTAATACCGGTCAATGGCACATGGGACAAAAATTCAGTGATGAATGAGCACCTGCCAAAATCACAGTTATCTTTCCTCTGCCACATGACCCCTTTACATGAACACAGCTTCCAGGGAAGGGGAAGGATGTTTGATGCAAAGAAGGAGCCCTCTGTACTGCCAGAGACTGGCCAAACCAATGAGATCCTTTCTCTTAGGGAACCACACAAACTGATCATATTAACTCCACTCTTTTCCAACATCATTTCTCACTACTTTATTCATCTAAGTTAACTAAATATATCCCCAGACTCTGGACTTAAAGTTATTATAGCTATCCCAAAGCAGCAGGCATTTTGTGCACATGTTTGCCACCAACACGGATTGCCCATTACACATGGTGTTAATTTTTCTTCTCAATCAATAATAACATATAAAATGTGTTTTTCTTTGTTCATGGTACTGTAATTTATGAAGACAGATAATCTATTAAAGACTTTTAAAAATATCTATTCCAGCCCTAGCTGGTTTGGCTCAGTGGATAGAGCATCGGCCTGCGGGCTGAAGGGTCTCAGGTTCAATTCCTGTCAAGGGCACATGCCCAGGTTGCAGACTTGATCCCTAGTGTGGGGCATGCAGGAGGTAGCCGATCAATGACCCCCTCATTATTGATGTTTCTATCTCTACCTCTCTGAAGTCAATCTGTGCACCGGGCCTCATATATACTAGTACATATAAGCAAATGAGTAGTTTGTAGTCTGAGAAAATACAAAATTCACTTTTTAAAATATGGAGTGGTAAGAATTCTTTGACTTTACTATCCCTTGCTTAGTTTAGGTAGCATGTGTTTATACATTGCAGTCTTGTAATGCGCACAAGAATAATGAAGATTATCAGGGAACTTACCAACACTTGGATAACCAGGCGTAGAAGGGTCTCCTCCTGGATTCAGTGACACCATGAAGGTGTCATCGTCAAGATTTGCAGTCTTTGGTAAATCGCAAGGATCAACATATAGAAGGACACCTCCAAATCCAGCCTTTTCCAGTAGGGAAAGCTGAAAGAGGAGAATAAACTATTAAAATATTACCTTATGCATTAAAAGTTCATATACTGCCATTTCATGAATGTGACTGAGATGACTCCCTTTTCTGTGTTTGTTTTTTTTTTTCTCTTTTAAAATAAACAGATGCTTCAGACTTTCCAGTTATCAAGCCCAGCCAGAGAGTTGTTCTACCAGCCTCTCCTCTTTTTTCTCTATCTCAGTGGTTGGCAAACTGCGGAGCACGACCCACATGCGGCTCTTTGGCCCCTTGAGTGTGGCCACGAAGTTTCAATCGCACTGTACGTGTGTGCCCACATGTGGTATTTTGTGGAAGAGCCACACTCAAGGGGCCGCAGTTTGCCGACCACTGCTCTATCTCAACAATATTTACGCAACATTCCTATAATGTCAATATATGGGTAGACTCTAGTCCAGTATGGAAAGTGTCCTTATAAGAAGGGGGAGAGATAGTAGGGATATGTGTGCACAGAAAGAAAGCAAGTGAGGACACAGCAAGAACATGGCAATCAGCAAGCCAAAAAGAAAGGCCTCAGGAGGAATCAAACCTGTCAACACCTTGATCTTAAATTTTCAGGCTCCAGAACTGCGAGAAAATAAATTTCTCTTTAAGCCACCCTGTGGTATTTTGTTAGGGCAGCCCTAGCAAACTAGTACTTTCACATAAAGTATATATCAGCCAAACTTTATACAAAGGTTCAGAAAAGAATTGTGATTATATCCTAGGTCTTCTGGGTCATCTTAAAGCCAAATCACCAAGTAATGATTGCATATCTGCTATGAGTGAGATACTGTCTCAGAAGTTATTTGTTGATTTTTTTTCCAGAACACTTGATATGTCATTTCAATTCCTGTTATATAGTTGCCAAAACTGTGATCCAGGAAGTTTAAGAGCTCGAGCCAAGGTCAGAGATAATAACGGATAATGCCAGGGATCAAAGTAAAGTTTTCAGAACTCCAGTCTGGCGATATTTCCACTAAAGCACACCTTTTCTTTCAATTATACAGCCATCCTTTACAAAGACAAATAGACTGGTGAAAGGGTGATTTTTTTTTTAATAAGGCACATCAGATGCTTCTTGCTGTGATCTGCTTCCTGAGAAGACATTCAGATCAATACTGTGTGAATTATATGCCTGTACTAAGACAATAGAATGTGTACATTTTAGAATCAAGATGCATGGTTATAATAACAGAAAAATAGAAATAAATTTTAAAATTTTGAATCTAGCATTTCATAGCACATTCACACTCATTTAAATAGCTATGTTGTATGTAAAAAATAAAAGATGAAAGTCAGACACTCTGTGATAATTTCTTAAGCACATTATTTTGACCTGCGAGTTCAAATGTTATGTTATTCTTTCTTCTTGGGATTGTTTTTGCCTATTAATCGTTTTGTTGTTTGGCTCTACTATTAGGCATTGTATTGTTAGGATGCCATTAAAGAAGTCTGTAAGATTCCAGTTGTCTTTGCTATGCCTCATAAATAAACTCACCTTCCTTTGTTAATGAAATGACAAGACTACTTTTGTGAGGAATATTCACTGTAATCAGACTGAGTATATTCAAGGCATAATTAAAGCATTCTTTTTGATTTCATGGAACATCTTTACTTGGATTTCAAATTGTTTAACTTCATGTATTCAAAGTTATTTAAATAACTCTACTGAGATTAATAAGAAGCAATGATCCCCTGCTTTTGTAAAGAAAAAAAACTTATTCAAAATTTAAACTTGTCAGAGCTCTAGAAATTACCCTCAACTTTTATCATTATGATTCAGGGAGGAGAGAGGCAGGGAAAGATGGAAGGGAGTAGGGAGGGAAGGGGAGAGGGAGGAAGGAACAGAAGGAGGAAGGAATAAGGAGGGAAGATCTCTTATTTTATTAAGTATGCTTAATGTAGATATATTTTTATTGTACTTTAAGCCAATTTATCGTTGTGGTCTGTGGGGTTATTCTGTTTTCACAGATGAAGTAGTCATGGCATAAGATGACTAAAGACCACATCACTAATTAATAGTTTATTTTATTTACCAATGCATTTTTTTAAAGTGATTCTGTCCACCTTGCTTCTTTTTTTAAAAAAAACAATAGCTTTTTATTTATTCTTTTAGAGATAAAGGAAGGGAGATGGAGAGAGAGAAAGAGAGATAAACATTGATGTGAGAGAGAAACATTGATTGGTTGACTCCCATAGACACCTAATCAGGGATTGAACTGGTAACTTTGGTATGTGCCCTGATCTGAAATCAAACCTGCCACCTTTTGGTGTATGGGATGATGCTCCAACCAACTGAACCACACCAGCCAGGGCTTCATAGCAGATTTTAGACTAAAAAATTATATCCTCATAATTTATTTTTTTGCGCTTTCCCCATTAAATCATGCTGCTTTGAAATAATGAAATACTGTGATTTTGCACATTTCTTCTATTTTTTTAATTCATATTATTCAACAACCTTTGCAATGTTTGGTGCATAAAAGAAACCTAACCTTTAAGAAAAAATATTTAAAAATATGATGCTATTTTTGCAACTGTAGCTTCAAAATATTGAGAGCACTATATTTTATATCTCTGCTTCTTAGCTTTACTATGCATGAAGGATCCACTTATGTAGTATGGATCTATTATTTTATGCTCTAGGTTGAGAACATAATGATAGAGTGGGAACAAAAAGTATAAACCTAAATCCTCTCATTTTCAGGTAGAGGGTTTTGAGATTGGGATTAAAAAAGGAAGAAAACACACACACAGTGGTCTGGGCTCTGTTCCTCTGTCAAGATGTTTCATGAATTGTAAACATTAAAGGTTATTCATCTTTAACAATTTCTCTAATATGATTTCATCACTTTATAGCAAATATTGGGAGGAGTATATATAATTTCTATTAGTAAATATATTGCTAATATTATCAAGTGCTTGCATTTGTCTTTCAATCTGTAGACGTTCTGTTGCTTTTAAACCAAACATATCATGTTAGAAAGGAACAGGAAACAATATGACCACCGTATACACTTAGAAATTACATACAGCTTATTATTTTTTGTGCTTATATTTGAGTGTCTGTGCGAGGAAGAGACAGGGGGTGGAGAAAGAGAACACAGCTTCACATAACCCCATGTGTGCATCTCTGGGATCATTTAATTTTCTAATTGCATAAACAAGATTACAGAAAAAACAGGGAGTTTTCCACATTCCTTAGTCTTTAAAAATTTACTATTTTAAAAATTTAAATGTTACCAATATTTTAAACTAAGAATGTATTTCATTGAAGCCATAAAGAATGGAGAAAGACTAATAGATAATAAATAATAGAACAAAATATCTCTAAAGGTATCTCCCAAATTATCTGTTGTTTAGTTTTTTTTGCCATTTTTTGATTTTTCTATATGTTGATTCCAATTTTGGGAATATAATCTAAGAATTCCAAAACACCAATCAGAAAGAATACATGCACCCCTATGTTCATAGCAGTGTTATTTACAATAGCTAAGATCTAGACAGCCAAGTGGCCATCAGTAGGTGAGTGGAGAGAAAAAGCTGTGGTACATTTACACCATGGAATACCATGCAGCAGTACAAAAAGAAGGATCTCTTATCCTTTGAGACAGATGGACCTGGAGAGTATCATGCTAAGCTAAATAAGCCAGTCAGAGAAAGACAAATATCATGTGATCTCACTTATATGTGGAATCTAATGAGCAAAATGAACTGATGAAAAAAACAGAACCAGGGACGTGGATGCATGGAATAGACTAACTAATGTCAGAGGGGAGGGGTGTAGAGGAGACTGGGTAAAACAAGGTGAACATATATGCACTAGAGGCCTGGTGTACAAAATTCATGTAAGGGGGTGGGGGAGGAGTTCCTCTGCTTGGCCTGAACACTCAGGGGATGTCTGACTGCCAGTTTAGGCCCGAAGGATCAGGCCTAAACCAGCAATTGGACATCCCTCTCGCAATCCTGGATGTTGCATGCATCAGTGACCATACTTTTCATACAAGTGAAAGACATCTTACTGTTTTATGGGCAGCTACATTTTTTTTGTCCTGATTATAAAAAGTAGTACATAACATGATCCTTCTGAGGCAGTAGTACCATTTTCCCCATCTTCTGGATGGAAAAACTGAAGCAGGAGAAGTAATGGGCTTTGTCACACAGTTATAAGTGTTAGAATCAGGGCTGACCACACAAAATATGCAAGACAGAGTCCATGCATGTCATTGCTGCATCATCCTGTTTTTTCAGTGTTAGAGTAGCCTTGCCAGATTTCAATTTTTAAATCTAAGAGACTGTTCCCAATATATAGGGTAGGGTCCCTAGGCCTGTCCGGTGATCAGGGCCAATCTGTGGAGCGACCGGCAGGAGGGGCAATCTGGGGGCCCCCCTGGCACCTGCCTTGGCTGACAGCCTGGTACCACCCGCTGGCTGGCTCTGCCCCCTGATTGCCACCGCTGGGCACCTCCCTCTCAGGGAGCAGACGCTCAGTGCAGAAGCTGCCCCCTCCTGCGTTGAGCCTCTGTCACCTGATGGTCTGTGCACCTCATAGCAACCAGTCGTTCTGTGGTTGTTCTGCTGTTCAGTCAATTTGCATAATAGGGTTTTATTATATAGGCTAGCCCATGAACACAGGCAACAGTGTGATGAAGGCCAGGGGAGGGGCTGTAGGGACTTGGTGGAGGTGGGCAAAGAGGGGGGAAATGGGAATCATCTGTAATAGTGTTAATAACAAAAAAATTACTATTTCTAATTCTACTGCCTATGAAAATTGTTTCTATATCAGAAATAATAAACAGAGTTCCCAATTTTCTTGCACATAAAGACAAAAAAGACCTTGGTGACTAGATGTATATTTGATGTTCAATGTTTCCTTAATTTATACCATTGTAAATCCTGATATAAACATTAAAAAAGTCAAGTTTTGACAGTGTTTCTTTTTTAACTGAAATTTTTATACATAACTCTTCCCCAAGGTGTGTGGCTATTAAGG